AAGGCCACCTGTCTCGTCCCTCTGCAATTTTCGACGTTTTTTGTTGCACTGGTCCCCAACTGATTTCTTCGAAATGCTCATTTGGACGCCGGCAGATTAAACTACTCGGTCACCTTGTTGACGCTACTGGTGTTCAACCCGACCCTCACAAAGTTTGTGCAGTCCGAGAATTTCCGGTTCTGCGTTCCACAGAAGAAGTTCGCAGTTTTATTGGGCTCTGCTCATATTTCCGCCGCTTTGTTTTCAACTTCGCGGATATTTCTAGGCCCCTCACGAATCTCCTCAAAAAGAATGTGGCCTTTTCTTGGGGAAGGGACCAAGAACATTCCTTCGCGTCGCTAATTACCGCCCTCACGTCACCACCTGTGTTGGTTCATTTTGATCCAGCGGCTCGAACAGAGCTTCGCACCGATGCAAGCGGCCATGGCATTGGTGCTGTACTCGCTCAGATACAGAATGGACCAACCTTGTGATAGCCTACGCTAGCCGCCTTTTGTCGCAAGCGGAACAAAATTATTCCATCACTGAGCGGGAATGCTTAAGCCTCGTTGGGCTATTGCGAAATTCCGTCTGTACTTATACGGACGTCCGTTTGCAGTCATCATGAACCATCATGCGCTTTGCTGGCTGTCGACGCTTAAGGACCCTACAGGAAGACTCGGCCGATGGGCACTTCAATTACTGGAGTACACGTTCTCGGTTGTTTACAAATCTGCAAAGCTGCACAGCGATGCTGACTGCTTATCCCGGCACCCCGTTGATCTACCTAGCTCCACTGATTTGGAATCCGATGCCGGCGTTTTAGCCATCACTGAGTTTCTGAACGTGGCCGACGAACAGCGCCGAGATCAATCGCTGCTCACCATCATTGACCACCTTCGATTGCGTTATGCTGACCCTTCTCTTAGCAGATACCTACTTCAAGACCACGTTTTGTACCCCGCAACTTACACCCCGATGGCGCGGAACTTTTACTCGTCGTACCGCATCACCTGCGAAAGGATGTTCTGCGACAATTTCACGACGCTCCAACTTCTGGACATCTAGGAGTCTCCAGAACTTACGACCACATTTGACGACGAGTATTCTGGAAGGGCCTCTACCGCTCTGTTCGCCGTTACGTCGCATCATGCTACCTCTGCCAGCACCGAAAGAAGCCTACGACTCCCCTCCGATCTACTAGATCTACTCCGATCTTGTGCTACCCGTCACAACTTCACCACATCTTACCACCCTAGACTAACGGCCTTACGGAGCGCCTAAACCGCACATTGATAGGCATGCTTGCCATGTACGTATCTACCGACCACACTGATTGGGACATAGCTCTTCCATTTGTAACCTTTGTCTATAACTCGTCGCGTCATGAAACAGCGGGCTACTCCCCTTTTTATCTACTCTTCGGACGTCATCCCTTACGGCCCTTCGACACACTGCTTTTATCAGGCCACCCATCCTCCACTTCGTACGCTCAGGATGCGATCACCCGGGCCCTCACGGCACGCGCGGTAGCACGCGCTCGGTTATCGTCGTCGCAGACAGCACAGAAGTCCCTTTATGACCATCGACATAGAGATGCCGTTTTTTTCTGCGGGATCCCTTGTTCTCCTGTGGCTCCCATCTCGACGTGTTGGCCTCTGCGAGAAACTACTATCGCGATACGCTGGGCCCTACCGAGTCATTCGTCAGGTCACACCTGTGACTTACAAGATTGCCGCTACCACAAACTCATCAGCTTATGCACCCAGAACGGAAGTAGTCCACGTTTCTCGTCTCAAGCCCTACAACGCCGACTCGCTCATTTAACAGGCACCGAGACGGTGCCTTACGGGCCGAGGTGATGATACGTGTATGGAACTGTCGCCCCGACACAGCTGAATTGGCACCCAAATGAAGAAGACGACAACGTGGTTGTTGTGGGTTGGACTCTCGAGCTTCTCCCGTTGGCCTGCTTGACTGTGCGCTCTCTAAGCCGTTAGCAAGACCAGCTCTCAGTGAATAAATCTTCCCCGTAACAATATCACGGTTTATCCTGTCGAAAGCTTTGGAGGAATTCAGGAATATTTGTAGCATAAGTTTTTTTTGCTTACATGATTTCGAGAATCAAGTTCTTTCGGTATAGAAAGGCACTTTCGGTTGAGAGGCCGGGCTGAAAACCAATCTATGATAACGTAATAGTGTTGTGTTTGTCGAAGAAAGTGCACAGCTGAGCGAAAGTATGTCTTTCACATCCCTTAGAGAAAATTGGCGAAATTGAGATGAGTCGGCAGTAACTTGCTTTTATCCCCACGTTTATATATAACTGTTACCTCAGCGTTTCTCATCATCTAAGGAAACAACCCAGTGGTGAACACAACATTACAAATATGAACTAAGCATGCACATACGAGATCTAAAATAAGTATTATCGGTTTTAAATTGGAACCATTCATGTCCTCGCTTTTACTCGTCTTGAAATTATGAAAAAAGGTGATGACCTCTTGCGTGTCTGTAGGATTACTGAATTAGCTAAAGAAGTAGAATACTGAATTAGCTAAAGCAGGAGGCAAATAACCTAATGACTCGAAATTATGACTACTGTCAACCAGTGAGTTAAAGTACCAAATAAATTATTTGATAGTACTGCGCCTCTGCATAATTCCTTAATATTCATCAGCTCATTAGTATCATTAGTCCCTTATTTAGTAGATATAATAGCAATTAGTGTGTTTCTTATTTGCTTAATATAAGCCACACAGTCGGAATACCTTGAAGTGGTAATCACGTATGTCTTGTTTTTGTAGTTTTGTCAGTTTATTTCAGTATACATTAGACGCTTCGAATTTATCGGGGTCTCGCTTTCTCAGAAATGCTTCAAACAACTTATTTTTTTTTTCAAACATATAGAGCATGGAAGAAGAAATTCAAGACAAATGAGCCCGTTTTGTTCTCTTCAAGGCCTTATAAGTAAAATGTTTTTACACAGAGCATAGCGTATCAACAAAAAGATCATAAGCAAGATCGGCAGAAGAACTAATTTGAATTTTGTTATAATTTAGAGTTCTGATTTTCTCTGTAAAAGATAGCGTTTGTAGATAACTTTGCTAAAAATAATGACAGGAAGAATCATACTTCTGACTCTGGGAGTATTTTCTAGAAATAGATATTCGAGTAACTGATCACTTAATGGAGCTCACAGGACGCCTGTTTGTATCGAATAGCTTGTACTATTGTGATAAACAAGCCTAATATAGAAGGGGTATCAGTTATACGTGTTGGAACGGTAATTGCATTTTAAAGAAAAAGAAAGCAAGCAGGTTTGAATGCCTCGTCTGTTAACGTGTATTTCTTCACAAAACCATGTTAAGATTACCTACCAGCACCAATGTGTAAATGTTTTGGTTTAGAATGGTAAATAGGTTTGCTAAATATAGAATAGCTGATTCAATATTGACACGTGGTGGCCTGTACATTACAACAAAAGTATAGCTTTGATATTGTAAGGCTAACGCCTCAAGGTCATGATGCGCAGAGACAGATCTTCGTAAGACAGATGCTTCGGCTACTTGGTGATTGGGAATCAACATATTTGCACAGCGCAGGACTACGAGTAGTTACGACGTAACTACAGAAGAAGAAGAAGAGACGAGTAGTTACGTCGTAAATACTCGTAGTCTTGCGCTGTGCAAATATGTTTATTTCCAGATTTTCATGATGCTCATACGTTATTCCAGCTTTGACATGTAAGCACAGACCACAACCAATTTTCAAATACCTATCTTGGTATACTGCATTATATCCGTCGATACAAAACACGTCTGTTTCACTAAGCTACCAAGTTTAAGTCCTTGCTCGAATGGAGATTAAGAATTTGAACTCATCGAGAGACAACACAAAGTTTTCTTCTTTGAGACAATCTGATTGCATTTTAATATGAAAAAATGTCAGGGGATGCTCTTGAGGGCCGCTTACATACGAGGTGAATTCAGATACACTGGAATACGTCAGCCTGCCTCACAGCGGAAACATATATATATTGTTAAGCTAGACCAATCTAGCCAGAACCGCTTCAGAACTTAGATCTAACATGTAAAATAGGTGTCCTGTCTGCCTTCCGCATGAACATTCTGACCTGGGATACCCATACATATTTTTATTCTTTTTCACGCCTTGGTAGCCGCGTATTACTAAGAAAAACCTTCATTTTCATACACATGTGTTTATTTCTATACACAGGGTTACTCTTTCAAAACCCAGACGAGCACTGCTTAGTCTAGTACTTTTAGCCACTGCTAGCATGCTGTCTCACGCTGTTCTTGTGAAGAAACGAACGATCACATTTGATTTTTTTCTATCTTCTGTCAGTACATAGCGGGCGACGTCGATGTCGTTTTCGGAGATATTGGTTCCTAAGGACTTGGCGATGTTTTCGGCAGTTTGCTCCAGGATTTCTTTTTCGATTAGAAGCAATCCTTGGATTTCAATAATATATTTTTGCTGCATTGTTTCAGCTTAACAACTTTCCGTCTAGCTTCTATCAGGTCTAACTGCAGTTCTTCCCTTTCCTTCCTACACTGCGCACTCTCAGCCTTGACTACATCAATCTCCTGGCAAAATGCTTCCACGTTAGTCCTAAAGAGCTGAAAGCTCTCATTCATAAAGGCAATCGAGTCTCGAAAACTTCTAAGTTCAGTGACTATTTTAGTGTTCGAGGAAGCGACCTTTGCAAGCTCACATTTAGCTTCAGTCGAGACCATGCCAAGTTTTCGCACTGAATTGCCTAGAAACTTTATAACTTCTTTCATGCTAATAGGCGGCCTTTCAGCGAAGACCATTGCATGCTGCCCATGTTGCCAAACGTTTATTTCACGTGGTTTGAAGCACTTTCGAGTAAGAATTGCGTTGTGTGTGATGTAAGCAGGACACCACATATTGATATCCCAAAAATGTCTTTGGAACTTTTTTATTCAAACGCAAAAGCTTTCGATGCCTTGTGCACAGTAAATAATCACCATTGGTGGCGTTAGCCTAGTTGGAATTGTCGTCAGCAAGGGAAACAAAGTAAAAGTCGTCCCCGCTATAAAACTTTACGCACTGCTTAATTTTGACGTTCTCATGACGTTAATATGAGTTCACATTATGACAGCACATGGCATAGTCGCTTCATCAAAAGTGGCCCGATCGCAAAAGCCATGCAAAGGAACCTGAGCTGAAGAAAGCTTTCGGATGTAAAATAGAATGAATGCACTGACGCCATGAAAACAAAGGCGAAGATGTCTCTCGCCTAAGATTGGTCTTAGGCTAATTCACAAAGAAACTCGCCCGTTTCTTGTTTATATTTATTTGACGATGCTATCAAAGGGTTATTAGTACACCTTAGAATTCTCATACATAAGCTTTAGTTGATGCTTGAGGACTTTGCCGTTTGGGTTCCTTGGCAAGCGGTCCACAAACAGCAGGCCTCCATAGAGATGCTTGAATTTTTCAGTTTTGCCTGCAACAGATTGTAGAGAGTTTAAATAACGTTAAATAGTTATGCTCTGTTATTTTATGAATAGCCTTGATCATTGCCTAAGTAAGATAACGGGAAGCATCAACTTTGGTGTGTTTTTCAGAGTAGGTGAAAAAAATGCGTTGATCATGAAGACTAATAGCGACCACGCACGGAAACTGCGCTTGTTCCTTTAACAGGCGTCATGAATTGTGGGCAGTTATACGCAATGTTTTGGAATATGGAAAGATGTTTCTACTTTCTTTAAAACAACTTTTGCGAGACTAATGGTGCTAGAATGTGTTACAGATTTTGTTGCCAAAATTAATTTGTGAATTTAACAAGCAAGATAGTTTTCCCAGCTGCAAAAGTTTTTGTGTGTGCAAAAAACAAAACCTAATTTTATTCTTTATGAACACCTATGGGTATTGAAAATGTGCCAAATAACTCTGCTGCCCGCTTGTTCACTTAAAATGAAGAACGCAACAGATAACGCTCCCTCACATCAGAGAGAGGGGAAGCGCAATTAAAGTGAGGCTCGCAGATTGACATAACAGGGAAAACAGCGCTGCAACAAACGTTCGTGCCCCCTGAAAGAAAAACCAGCTCATGCCTATTAACACTAGCCGCTAGGGCATCAATATCTATTGCACCTTACATTTTATGGGACAGCATCATTTTGATTGGGTGCGCAAAAGCTTATTTTTTTGTTGGTGAAAGCTTCGGTGCTATACATGTCACTGCGTTCTTGAAATACAGTACGACATTCTACGGCACTTGTGGGTGCATATATCTTGCGATTGTAACTTGTCTACCTCGATGCGCTTTTGTTGTCTCTCGCATTCGGTCGGAGGGCACCCGAACATGAAACGACGCGTTTTTGTGTGTCTTGGCTACTAACCCTTGGTGTCTGATAGCTGATGTTGGTGCTGAAATTTATTGCTGGGTCATTTGGACACAATCTGTAGCAATAAAAACTTGTTTCCTATTCCCCAATAGTATCTTATGATTTAGAAGACCATCGCGTAAAATAAGGGCTACGTGACCAACGCCTGGCGGGATCTAGCTCTAGCTCCGTACCAATCTGAGACGCGCTCGGTGGAATTTCGCTATATCACTAATTCTTTCCAGAACATTATCTAATTACCACAGTGAACAAGGTATTTTAGCATACAATCTGTTTAAAACCTCTAACTATAACGTGAAGATGATCGTCTTCCGTAGCCTAAACACATTAAATCGCGAAGCGAACCTCGGGTGTCGCTGACTAGCAGGTCGGCGGCCGCGTCCTCATTACTTAACCGATGCTAGACTGCAAATCCCTCGCCCACCCCCATTTTTTCGCCATTATTGGTCACTAAATGGGAGGAGTGAGAAATTAAGGCTCGTTTTCGAAGTCTCGTGCGTGCGCGTCAATGGTGAGGTGTGTAGAGCATCCAGAATGCATTGTCACGAACCAAAGGCTTGTAGTTTCAATTCACAGGTTTTTTTAATCTATAATTCACTTGCTCATATCCGTGACGGAAAATCGTTAGTGACGTCTTAGTTAACCTCGACATAAAGCGTTTTTGCGTTAAATAATCGTTGGTGTGGCTTACGTGCAACGAGGTCCTTGAGCTCAGCTGCCATTTCGGGTGACGCTAATTTCGCATCTCGCAAAACGACGAACGCAGAAGGGGCGTCGCCGTACTTCGTTTTTGGTACTCCTAATACGGCGGCATCGGCCACATTGGGATGGCTCTGCAGCAGGTCTTCGAGTTCCATGGACGACACCTGCTGGTCTAGGCACTTAATCATGTCCTTCACCCGGTCCACGAAGTACACGCGGCCGTCTTCATCGTAGTACATGATGTCTCCTGTATAGAAAATACGAATGGGAGAACGGTACATTTTTTCGAAAGAAGGGTGCACTTCTTTCATATTTCATCAATAACCAGCCTTTGAAGATACACAACATGCATTCATAGCGCAGAACGTTTGATATTTACAAAATAATTAGTTAGCTCTCCTTTGTGAATAAAAGTTGTGAAGTTTTTCTAACAAAGTCCAGCGTCTTTCATGAAACAGCAATAACACATATTACCAAGGCTTGTTAAGATGAATATGAGTACAGAAAAGTGTGAGTTCTTAAGTTCTGTTTTTTATTCATTCAAAATACAAAGTTCACAGTTAAACATATGCAGACGAGGGTCCCAAAGTCCAACTAATAAAACGATAAATACTTTTCCTGTAGTACATTTAGCAGATTATAATCAGAATCGGAAATGATGTTATTAAGTCATCATGAGCGATAAAAATAGTTAGTATAGAGTAGGAGGCCCCATTGTCTAAAACTGAATCGGGATCTCCTACAGTACTGAATACAGAAAAAAATTATTTGAATTAGCAAACAGCAGTACAAAAAATAAGCGAAAAATACAACGCAAAATGCAAAAAGGACAATTGAACAAAAATAACAGGAGAAAACAAAAAAGAAGACAAAAGCCAAAAGTAGACTACGTACAAAATAAGAATAATTCAGTGCTAATAAATATAGACAAAATTACAAAATCAGACAGAACAAGAAATAAAAGTAATGCAGTACTTCTAAAATTTTGCTGAATTCCAAAATAAACTAGAAAAACAATAAAGGTAATTAGGCACTCCTATACAGCTTTCAGACAATTGTAGTGAAAAAAGCATTAAAAATGCACATTCAAGAGAGAAAAAATTTCACATCTATTTCAGCAATACATGACGATGATGTGATACTTTCACTTAGGTTGCGAAATGATATGAATAGGAAGGAGAGTAACAGAAGTTACAAAAACTGCCTAGATCATGAAAGTGATGAGAGGAAAGTGAGTTTGCCAATCGATTGCGATGTTTTGATTGCCGGAATTCTAGTATTCCAGAAAGGGATCTTACTGAAGTAAATTGTTTGTTTTCCATGGCTGTTGGGAGCCTTTAGTAAAATTAATTTCGTAATATGTGGAAACCCTGTGAAGTCAGTATTCACTGGATGGAGGGATATTAAACACAGGAAGCTGGTTGTTGATTTGCTTGCACATTATTATTCCTAGTTTTAATTTGAAGGTGCCAAAGACCATTAGTATGTTGTTCACAAGGAGGAGTGCTATAGCATCACTGCGGTAGCAACTATGGGTAAGTAATTTAATAAATTGATTTCGCATAGTTTGGAGAGAAACAAGATCACTACTGTAAGTATTGCCCCAGGATGTGATAGAGTAATTGAAGTGAGAATGACTAAAAGCGTGGTACAATGAAAGTAATGTAGGATGGGAAAATATATCCCGGGCTTAAAAAGAACAGGTATGCCGTAAGCAATCTTTCTTCGTATGAAAGCAATATGCCAATAAAATTTCAAGTTGCAGTGAAGTTGGATTCCCAAAAAAGTAGTCTTCTCATCTGCTTTAATCGTGAATATAATTATGAATATTGGCGGGATGTGATTATGTTCATGTTGGAGAGAGTGAAAAACAACAAATATAGTTTTGATTGGATTCATTTGAAGCTTATTATGGAAACACAAAGCAGTCAAGCTTGAAAGATTATTGTTTAATTACTGGGTCAGAGATCGGAGACATTTATCAGTGTTAATAATTGTTGTGTCATCTGCGTAAAGTAAGCACTTCTTAGCGAAAATAGAAGTGGGCAGGTCATTATTATAAACTATGAAAAGAAGTGGGCCGAAAATAGAACCTTGCGGTACTCGAATATTTGTTACCTTCGCTGTAGATTGGAAACCCAGCAGATTTACAGCTTGACTTCTATTGAGTAGGTAATGTATCGCAGGACCTGTTACGCCTATTGCTTCAAGCTTCATGAAAAGAATGTGGTGGTTGTTAGTGTCAAATGCTTTGGTAAATTCAATGAAAACAGTACCTGCGTAGAAGCCCCTATCTATTGCTCTCTTTAGCTTTTCAGTTAAAGATAACAGAGCGAGGTCAGTGGAACAGTCTTAACGACAACCAAATTTCGAAATTGAAAGAACCTCATATTCACTGAGGTATTTGGGCAGGCGAGTTTCCAGCACTTTTCAGATACTTTACTGAAGAAAGGCAAGATTCCAATGGGTCGATAGTTGGATATTTTTTATTGGTAACCTTTTTAAACATAGCAACAACTTTTCCACTTTTTAATTCTAAGGAATAATACCAGTTTTGAAAGCTAAGTGGATTATGGATGATAAAATATCTGAAACAGCATGTGCGATTATTTTTACATGGATTGTGGAATTACCATAAAGGCCAGCGCTTCTAGTGTTCAGGTTTCGAATGACATCATGTACTTCGTGAGATGTGGTAGGAAATGAGAAGAATAACTGTTATAATACATATTCTTGCTATATTACATGATGTCTCCATAACGAAAACGTCTCGAGTGAGATTCATTTATCTTATTTCAGTTTCATAGAACTTTCTAAGCACCACAGTGGGCCCACCTCGGTGGATTGCTGGCTAGGGCTGCCCGACAAAAGGTCACTGATTGGATTCCTACCTCAGCGGTTGCATTTCGGTGGAGGCAAAATGGCAGAGGCCCGTTTGTTCTGCGACGTCAGCGTCCGTTTAAGAGCACCAGATGGTCAATATTTCCGGAGCTTCGCACTACGGCATCTTTCATAATAATGTTGTGGTTTATTGGACTATTGTGTTAATGATCAGCACGTCGTCAAAACAATCAACCGCATGGCATAATGTTCGTGTTCTTAAAAAACTTCGCTTTATTGCATACTTCCTCTTATTTTCCAATGGAGGTTGGTGGCAACGTGTAATATTCGGCGCGCAAAGTCTATGTCACTGCTGATAGGCTATAGTAAAAAAAAAGAAACTTCTGATGCTAGGTCCCGTGTCGAAACCAGGCGTGTTACCTCTTTCTGTGCACGGCGTTTACTGAAACCGGAAAAAAAACAGTTTCTGTCATTCAGAATGTCTTCAAATAGAAAAATAGAGCAATCGCTCAGCTCGGTGGCTGAAAATCAAGCAGGTTGTTTGCGGACTCGATAGAACAGGGTCAGTCGGTAAAACAACAAATTATAGATAAGAGTAAACCACGATGGGCCTTGACAGCGCGTCGAGTGAATAGTCATGTACTGCAATAATAATTTCGGAACACTACATTGAGAAATGCATATGAGGACTAATTAAACTGTAAGGTGATAAAATGCTAACATGTAAAGGGACGGGCACTTGCAAACTAGTTTTATTTTGTTCTACTAAAAATACCAAAAATAGAGAACGATCAGAGCTAGAGGATATAAGGGTTTGCAGAACTTGGTCAGAATTATTGCTTCAGGTAAGTAAGAAAGATAGCTGATAAAATAGCAAAATGTGCTAACGGTGTCGCCACTATTAAATCCCCAAGAGTTATTTGGAACCTTAAATACATACGGGCCTTCAGCAGATGTCGCTAGACAACCAGAAATAAGGTGGTACCGAAGAACACAACCAATGGTTGAATATGCCAAGGTTTCTTACAGATATAGTCGATTATGGGCCCACGAGCATACTCCAGGTGTTCTAGCAATTAAACACGTGTGATATAACTGCCAATTGATTCTAAAGTATGCTCTATTTATGTCAAACCAGGGAACACGAAGGCTTCTAGAAAGGTCATTTGGCAAAAGTGCACGACCACCACTCGAAATAGGAATTTAAAACCTGCTCAATGTACTTCTCCTAATATTGTGCTTTTAATGAAAAATATGCTTGTTTCTTTAGTTTTGCCATGGCCAGCTGTGGCTGGGTAAGACTGACGCAAAAATTACCGTTTGATAGGAGACGAAGCTTCGTTTACAAAACAATATAAGGTAGTTCTGTACCCATACAACAGCGTAAATTAAAGAACAGGTAATAATAAAGCCCATAACTTCATCACAAATTGCATATTACACGTTGGTTCTTGTTTAGTCGTACGAGAAGAACCCTAAGAATGAAATGTGCATTTGCGAGGCGAGTGCGACACTTTTTTTGTTTTTCTAGCTCTCAGAGTTCTCGTCACAAAAGTTTGTCGAAAGACATACCTGACCTGCACCATCCATCATCATCCATGAACTCCTTACCCAGCTCTAAATTTTTGTAGTAGCCTTTCATGACGCTTGGGATACGAAAGTAGAGCTCGCCGTATTGCCTGGGTCCCACTTTCTCGCCTGTCTCCAGGTCGATGAACTGTACAGGAAATGCAGAGCGCACGAGGTATACGCATACACGTAGTTCTTGCTAAATTCTGCATTAGTATTTTATGCTAGTGGCAAAACAAATGATAGTTTGATCAGGGTAAGCACGTTCTTCTGAGCAGGCGCATGCATACCATGGACAGCATTGGCTGTAGTTGTATTGCTGATGTGATAAATATGCTTGGTGGAGCCTGTGGCTTGTATAAGTCTGGTCAAATTCGTTCAAGCTTAAGCATGTAAAATGCGCGAATCACATAATAGAATTTAGCGGTGGGCGTGGTGCTTATTTTTTGTGCGCAAAACAAACAAAAGTTATCTTGTTAATTTGTTTTGTTGGTTGTTGCAGTTTCGTTTATCTTAGCGGCAGCAAAGGGTAGAGGAGAGCGTTGTTTTATATTTGTTAGATTAATTTTGTGCATTTACAATACTCTAAGTGAACAAATCACGCATCTGAGCTTTATTGTGGCGATGATCAGTTATCTCCTATTGTTATAATAATAAAAAGAATATTATTATTAAAATAATAAAAAGTAGCTGAGAGCCTAGTGACACCTACCGATGATTCAGAAAACGATATTACACTGGCTAGAATATGGATGGAAGCGTGATGAACGCTCCGGCTAGCGCATGCCGTCTTGAGAGGAAAGCTCCAGATGGCACTGGCACAGGTTTGCACGTCGCCCGAGGCGGCAACGCACTGCGCAGAGACGAAAATCAACCACGCGCACGGGCGGTATGAAACATTTACAATATATTTTGTTGCTCGTGCAAAGGTTCAAATAGCGACCGAGCTTCCAGAATTAAAAGGATGCCTACGAGCAACTGAACTGAAATATCGACAGGGTACCAAAAGTGAGTGCGTGACGGCACTGAAACATTTTATCAATGTTACCAAGAAGTCGTGGCAGAAGATTGAACCACGAATTTAGTTGTGAACCATTGCTTGAAGCACCTTGAAAGCTGCCACAGCAAAGCATCATTTCCTCAAGCTCTAATCTGTAAATAAAGCCCCATCATTCGTAACCTGCATGCTAACGCATACTGAAACTCGAAGACGAGAATCACGAGCGGTATATGGATGAAAACATTTTATTTTTGTTTGCTCGTTAGAGTGAGCGCCCGCACGCGTGGTAGCATAGCGGACTAACTAATCACTAGCGTAAGCTATGGCGCCAATATCACGGCTCAACTGTAGGCCCAACCGAGAGCCGGCACTCGTTATTCTCACTCCCGCCTTCGGCGCGGACGGCACGCTATCAGTATGTTCGAATAAAGCGCGTTCTTCTCGTTTTACCATGCCCTAGCATTCATGCCTAGCCCAACCAGCCCTCACAACTGGCGCCGTCGACCCCGAACCATGCCTGATACGTCGCCTCTTGCCCGCCTCGTGAAGTGAACCGCCGGCTGGCCGCACAGTGCCCTGTCTTTTGTGTAGCGTGCTCCAGTCAATACACCTCTCGCCGGCTTCGTCCGAGTCATTTTGTGCCTTTGCTGTTCGTTTTCGCCAACAGTCGTGCTGAAGCCCAACCACCCGCCCGATGAAGTAGCTCGCCAACAGAACCAAAAGGTTGGCTGCCCGCCTTTTCTTCTCCCGTAACTCTTCTGCTACTTAGTTGTGAGCGTAGCCGGGAAGCGCTCCCACGCCTGGAACCTCCGTTCTCTCGGAACCAGCGTCCAGCGCTGACGGGGGAGCGGGGGTTCCAGGCGTGGAACCCCCGCTCCCCCGTCAAAGAAGTAGCCGACTGGCCGGCTGCCTATGCCCGCCAGGTATTGTCCCTGCTAGCCGGAGGATGAGACGTCGTGTCGCCACGACACCGTAAGCGGTTCCAGAGAGGCCAACAAAGACAGCATCTTCCTTGAAAGAAACCGCGGCCGCCGCCACAAATTGCCCTGCTAATTGAGCGGACAGATCGGCGGACCGTTTGATGTATGCGGTCAGGGGCTTGGGACCCCTCGACCAGCGGCACACACACGACGAGAAAGAGCCCCGCTGGTGCCACCGTGCAGTGCAGTGATCAAGACTCAATATTAGATGTTCACGTGGGCCGTGCATGCTCGTACCTCTCGCCTGTTGCGTGTGTGTGATTGGTGTTCCACTCAAGAAGGAGGAGCCCGACAGGGCTTATAACGATGCCGCAGAGTGCGGGCGTCGCTCTGAACCATGCAACGGTTCAACCACCACGCTCGTGGTTTGTGAAACTCTCAACCTCTTTATGCTGTAAATAAGTGTAAATAGTGCCACAAACCTGTTTGTTTTTCGTATCCCCATTTTGTCAGCGTTCGTTTCCTCAACCCGAAGCTACACCACGCTTCCACAAAAGACCGGGCAGACTCCGGTCCACCACACCTGGTGATCAGCGGTCGGATACGAAGCTACAAGTCACAACAACTGGTGGCAGCGGTGGGATACGACTCAGCACTGGGATCCACAACAACTGGTTGGCAGCGGTCGGATACGAAGCTACAAGAGACAACAACAGTCGGCCCACGAGAAGCAGCTGGCTCGAGACATGGATCACGTATGGGTGAGTGCTTGGCTTTTCCTTTGAGTGAACCAGGTTCTAAAAGGGGGTAAATTTTAGAACTGGTATTTAACTTTGCTGAAAGACTCAGTTTTGCCGTTTCGAGAAATTTTTGGAAGTAGCGAGCACACAGTACGATCATGGACTTACGGGAGCTGCAGAAGTCGGACTTGTTGCTGTTGTGTAGGAATTGGGGACCGATACAAAGGGTTTGTCACGAAAACCCATAATCATTCAAGTGATTAATGATTTGGGGGCTGATGATGAGGAGCTCTGTGAAGCATGGGACCTCATCAGTCAACGAAAGAGACAGCAGAAAGAGGAGGAAGCGAGGTGTGAGCATGAAACAAAAAGACTGGAATCTGAGAGAGAGGAACGTCGCATAGAACCTGAACGTGAAGCAGAAAGACAGGCGCTTCAGATCGAGATCCGCAAACAAGAAATTCAGTCGAGGGGAAGGTTGGGCAGTGGTTCCCAGCAAAGGGTACCTTACCCCAATAAGGCGGCAGAGTTCAAGATGTCCCGGTACATCCAGTCATACGAGGTATCAGGGGATATTGGTCTGTACCTGGTAAATTTCGAACGAATGTGTGAGAAAATGTCATTCGAGCAAGCCACCTGGTCACAAAGGCTACTCACGGTTCTGCCCTGCGAGGCAGCGGAAGTTGTTGTGCGACTCAGCAAGCAGGACGCAGACAACTATGAGAAGGTCAAGGCTTGCTTCTAAGAAAGTATACAGTTTGCGCAGAGGTTTTAAGCCAAAGGTTTTGGGGTGCTAAAAAGTCTAAGAGCGAGAGCTATCCTGACTTTCTGTACAAAATGAGAGCGAATTTGACAGTATGGCTAAAGAGCACCGAGTCATACAGTGACAGGAACGCTGTAGTGGAGAGGATTCTATTAGAACAGTTTTGAACTGTCTCCCAGAGCAGGATAAAAACTGGTTACTCGACCGGGGTGACATAGGTTCTGCGACGAAAGCGGCTGAATTTGTCGAAGAGTACGCATCACCCAGATATTATAGCAGCAACTTGGGAGCCGATAGAACCTATAATTCCAAATCAAACGAGAATAAAGGTTATGGGAAACATTTTTCGAGTTTTCGAAATGAGAAGAGGAAAAGAAAGGTCCCGTCTGGCAAATTTTAAGAGAAGGGGGATAGTGAACCAAGTGAGGAGGAGCAAAACGCGGGACAAGCGAAGAATGCTTTTAAAGTTAAGAAGCCGTTCACTTGCTTCAGATGCAATGAGGCTGGTCACATAGCAGCGAACTGCCAAAATGAAAAGACGGCGTTTTCATATATCAGTGACTGCGAAGAAAACATGAGGTTATTGGAACCTTACATGCATGCCCTGGTTGTGAATGGAAAGCCATGTAAAGTGCTGCGCGACATGGCGGCAACAATAGATGTTGTCCACCTGTCGTATGTGTCGCCATCTGACTACACAGGATCCGCCAAGTGGTGGATCCGCCAAGTGGTGGATCCGCCAAGTGGTGGAAGAGCAGAGAGTATGCTTGCCCATTGCAGCTGCGGAAATCGAGGGCCATTTCGGTAAATTAACAACCCAAGCTGCAGGGTCGGGAAACTTCCTAAATCTTATCCGTACTTGTTCTCAAACAAGTCGGATATAATATTGCGAGAGAAGGACATTCTTTTCGATGACAGGGTTGTACAAGCGTTAACCCATTCAAAGATACAAAAATTGGCAACTCAATTAACGTCTGAAAAAAATGCTATAGAGGAAGGGCGTGATACAGAAGTGGTGAAAACGAAGGAAAGCAGTTCAGACAACCGTGATAGCGAGACACTTATGATCCGTCACTCCGAGAAGGAATCTCGCGAGTATGCGTTACTTCCGCCAGCATCAGACAGGTTAACTTTACTTCTGGATGGAAACAATGGTAGCTTGGCTACTGAGCAGTTAGAGGAGGATACCACCATTCAAGAAATCAGAGAGCATGTCGAGAGCGAGGCTTTGGCTGGTCTGGAGGTAGAGACCGTTTCAAAAGACGGTACTTGCGAGGATGAGGCGGGTGCCAGCAGCCCTATTGGGCGCAGCAAGGAGCTGGAAACCATACTCATGCCTCGAAAGAACGCTTCAACATCGTGAAATGAAGCCATGGTTAGAGCAGTGGCTGGTGAGAGCAAGAACGCCATGCTTCAGCAGGGCAGCGATACTATTGAGCTGATTTGCAAACATCGCAGAAAAAAAAAAGAAGCGGAAGCATTCGGCACCGCGTAAGTCTAGGGCAGGTCCTACTCCGTCCCGTGAAAGACGAAAGGGTAGACCGCTAATCCGTTTAAGGAAACGTCAATGGTGGTGTTCAGGAAGGCACAAGTGGCGAGCCAGGTGTGGAGGTGGAAAAAAAGGTGCATCACCCAAGAAAACGCGCGGTTCAGTTCGACGACTTCGGGAAAGCGGCCTTGCCCGAAGGCTCAAAGTCGAAAGGTCAGAGTGGCTAAATACTGCGT